CCTTGCCGCCGCCGCCGCCGGCGCCCGGGGGCCGGCCGCCGCTGGGGGATGAGGGCTGGGTGTCCATCGGCCAGAGTTGGGCACCTAGTGCAGCGGGGTCAGAGGGGCCCGCGGTAGTAGCGCCGGCTGGCGGCTAGCGCAGCCTGCGCAGTCGGGCGCCGCTCCCGCCGCCGTCGCTGGCCGCGGGCCCTGGCGTGGGGGGTAGCCGCCGTGAGGCCGTGCCGGGCTTTGGGTGGGTGGGGGGTGGCAGCCGCTCCATTGCCACATTGGCCAGCGCCTGAGGCCGCAGGGGCCCTGGCGCTGGCGCCGAGACGCACGGCGCGCGCCCCCGCCGCTGTCTTCAGCGCAGTGTGCGCCCTCTCTTCTTTTCGAGGCGTCCCGCGGGTCCGTTCCCCCCGCGGGCGTCGAGTGGCCCAGCAGGGCCGGCTCGACGTGTTTTGTGCTCTCTGTGAGCTGTGCCGTTGAAAAGTATAGGCCGTTGCCTGCCCTCCGGGCAGCTGGGCTGGGCCCGTGCCCATCGCCGCCAGAGGGCCCGCGGTCGGGGCTCCGCGGATGGGCGGGCGCATGATGGGCCTGTTTTCCACCACCACCACCATAGGTTGGAGGGGGAAGGGGCCCTCCTCCTCCTCCTCCTCCTCCTCCTCCTCCTCCTCATCGTCCTTCTCCTCCTCGTCCTCCTCCTCCTTCCCCCCTCCAACTTATGGTGGTGGTGGTGGAAAATAGGCCCATCAGGCGCAGATGTCTCTGGACGGCGTTCGTGTCATTGTTGGGGGGGGGGAGCTAAGGTCGCGCGCTCAGGTGGGTCCCCTTTTTACCGTTTCGCCCCCGTGATTGGAGATCCTGGCGCCGCAATTCTTTCGAATTGAACCATTTCGCTGAGAGCCGGCCCTAGGGCCTTCGCGTCGTTGGATCTCGGGGCAGACATGCTCGCGTCGTGAGAACGCGGTGGCGTGTGCGATCGAAATGGGTACGGAAGAATTGGTACGAAAACCAACAGCCATTCCTGTGCATTTTGAACAGAATCCGCTGTCGGTATCGTCGCGGGCGCTGTTCATATGAGACGCAAATTCGCTTGCCTGACAGCGGCCGCTGTCTGTCTTGGACAGCAAGTGCTGTTGACAACATCGTGACGATTTTATTCTGCACCCACTGCGGGTATCCAAATCAGAAGAGAACCAACGGAACCAGGGGTGCTGCTGCCACCACATTTTGCTCATTTTCGCCTTTTTGGGCCTCCTAGGAAACCCTCGTCGTATCAGTATCTCTTGGTTTCCCACAGGACTGGGGGTTCAAGAACGACGGCTGCGATGCCTTTGGCCTGGTCCCTGCATGTCCAGCGGCGGCCAAGCCCGGCAAGGTGGCCGCGGAGGGCAGTGTGCTCCCCTCGAGCGCGCGGCAGCAGAAGCTGCAGCAGGACGAAAACTGCACCCAGCAGTGACGCCACTGCGATTCTGAGCGGCTGAGCAGTCGGCCGGCGCTACCTTTCGGCACAGGCGTCAGGAGTCGAGGGCTTTCAGGTTATACGGCGATGGGGTCGTTGGGGGATCCAGCGGGGACCGCGTCAGTGCTCCGTGTCTGCGCACTGCGTCCGTAGCCTGCGGGACTCGGCGTGCCTTCGCCACCGTTGCGACCAGAACCCTGCCAACTACAATAACGCCTCGAGGAGGCACGAAGGCCTTTGCGTGTCTCGTTCGGGCTTCCCAACATCCCGCCGTTTTTGTGCCCGATTCGCTCAGCAGCAGCCTTGTTGTAGCGCGACCGCAGCTTGGACCCAAGGCGCCGCAGATTTGAGCAACATCCCGTTGGGGCTCTCGGTGTCCCGTGGGGGGTGTGAGATTCTTGAGATCTTGAGAAGAGCTTTTGAGGAGCCCCTGACGAGTTTCTTAAGAGCCTCTTACGAGCGTCTGGGAAGCTTTTGAGGAGCCACTGAGGAGCCTTATCAGAACCTCCTTGGCCGCCTACTGAGAGCTTCTTGATGGCCTTTGAAGAGCCTTCGGATATCGTCTTAATTAAGAGCACCCGAAGAGCCTTTCAAGAGCCTCAGGGAAGCCTCTGAAGAGCCCCTGAAGAGCTTCCTCATACCCTTTTTTACAAGCCTAAGAGGACTGTCTGAGGAGGCTCTGAGGGGCCTCTGAGGAACTTGCGCGCGCGCGCGTAGGCATCCATGTACATGGGGTTACACATGTGGGTTTGCACACACTGCTAAAGTATTGGTGCAACCCATTGCTCTGAAAGCTGGGTCCCCGCATTGCCGCGGAGCAAGTTTTGCCTCGCTAATATCCACGGACGGGGACCGCGCGCGAGGTAACGGAGTTTACTTGTCGCTCCCGCGACGCCAGGCTGCGGTATGTGGATTCCGAAGGCTAATGTATTGCTGATGCTTTCGGCCCAGGCCGACCAGTGGAGCCGACACTTGCCGTCAGGCGCACGGCTTTGCACTCCTTGGCGCTGCTTTGAATTGCTGTGCGTTGCCCTGGATTGCTTCACATCGCTTTACATTACGCTACATTGTTTTACATGGCTTTTCGGTACATCGAATGATATTGCACTGATTCATTGCTTGTGGTCCACGTAGAGGCACTTCATGTGTAGGTGAAGACGTATCCAAACATGGTGGCGGACACAGAAATGCATCCCCCGAATGTTGAACACATACTGTCAAGCTGTACTCAATATTAATCACAACCTGATTTCCGAATCAACATGCGGATTTGTTTACGATCATGACACAGAAAAGGCTAACAGCCAAAGTTCTGGGGACACCGTAGCCCCAATGGCGCATACAGAGGCCCCACTTACATACAGTACCCTAGCGACGTACCCAACCCCTGCGCAATGCGGGGCATGAGTATATTGGGAAGCGTTATACGGAGGTGATGACGTGACATGGGCGCATCTACTTCTGCGAGCGGCATTCGTGAGGCTCGCAGCCCCCCAATGATTGCGATGTCCCGCTCAGGTCCGCGCGGTGCCTCGCTCCGCTGGACCCACCAGCAGCCCTCGAAAGTGGCGACAGTCTCGCAGATCGCAGCCCCCCAGGGACGGCGAGGTCCCGCTCAGATCCGCGCGGTGCCTAACTCCGCAGGACCCACCAGCAGCCATCGAAAATGGCGACAGTTTCGCAGATCGCAGCCCCCCAGGGACGGCGAGGTCCCGCTCAGGTCCGCGCGGTGCTTCACTTCGCAGGACCCACCAGCAGCCTTCGAAAGTGGCGACAGTTTCGCAGATCGCAGACCCCCAGGGACGGCGAGGTCCCGTTCAGGTCCGCGCGGTGCCTCACTCCGCAGGACCCACCAGCAGCCCTCGAAAGTGGCGACAGTTTCGCAGATCGCAGCCCCCACGGGACGGCGAGGTCTACCTCAAATCTGCGCGGTGCCTCACTCCGCAGGACCCACCAGCAGCCCTCGAAAGTGGCGACAGTTTCGCAGATCGCAGCCCCCCAGGGACGGCGAATTCCCGCTCAGATCCGCGGGCTGGCCTCACTCCGGATGGAGCACCAGCAGCCCTGCGAAAGTGGCGACAGTTTCGAGGATCGCACCCCCCCCAGTGACGGCGAGGTCCCGCTCAGATCGCGCGGTGCCTCATTCCGCAGGACCCACCAGCAGCCCTCGAAAGTGGCGACAGCTTCGCAGATCGCAGCCCCCCCAGGGACAGCGAGGTCCCGCTCAGGTCCGCGCGGTGCCTCATTCCGCAGGACCCACCAGCAGCCCTCGAAAGTGGCGACAGCTTCGCAGATCGCAGCCCCTCAGGGACGGCGAGGTCCCGCTCAGATCAGCGCGGTGCCTCACTCCGCAGGACCCACCAGCAGCCCTCGAAAGTGGCGACAGTTTCGCAGATCGCAGCCCCCGGGACGGCGAGGTCCCGCTCAGATCCGCGCGGTGCCTCACTCCGCAGGACCCACCAGCAAGGGCCCCAAAATTGAGACAGTTTGCAGCGGAATCTTCGGATTTGCCCCCATTGGACGGCGAGGTCTACCGCTCAGGCCCCGCACGGGCTTCCGAAAGTGCCGACAGTTAAGCAGATCGCAGCCCCCCCCCCAGGCACGGCGAGGTCCGGCTAAGGATCCGCGCGGGTGCATTTATTTTTTTTTTTTCTTTTTTCCTTTCCCTTGTTTTTTTTTTTTTTTCTTTTTTTTCCACTCCGAAGGACCCACCAGCAGCCCTCGAAGTGGCGACAGTCTCGCAGATCGCAGCCCCCCAGGGACGGCGAGGTCCCGCTCATGTCCGCGCGGTGCCTCACTCTGCAGGACCCACCAGCAGCCCTCGAAAGTGGCGACAGTCTCGCAGATCGCAGCCCCCCAGGGACGGCGAGGTCCCGCTCAGGTCCGCGCGGTGCTTCACTCTGCAGGACCCACCAGCAGCCCTCGAAAGTGGCGACAGTTTCGCAGATCGCAGCCCCCCAGGGGCGGCGAGGTCCCGGCCATGTCCGCGCGGTGCCTCGCCCCGCAGGACCCACCAGCAGCCCTCGAAAGTGGCGACAGTTTCGCAGATCGCAGACCCCCAGGGGCGGCGAGGTCCCGCTCAGGTCCGCGCGGCGCGTCGCTCCGCAGGACCCACCAGCAGCCCTCGAAAGTGGCGACAGTTTCGCAGATCGCAGCCCCCCCAGGGACGGCGAGGTCTTGTTTGGATCCGCTGTGAGTACCCTCTCTGCTGGCTTCCCCAGCAGCCCTCGAAAGTGGCGACAGTTTCGCAGATCGCAGCCCCCCAGGGGCGGCGAGGTCTCGTTTGGATCCGCGGTGGGTGCCCTCTCTGCTGGCCTCCCCAGCAGCCGTCGAAAGTGGCTACAGTTTCACAGATCACAGCCCCCCAGGGACGGCGAGGTCCCGTTTGGATCCGCGGTGAGTGCTCTCTTTGCTGGCCTCCCCATCAGCCTTCGAAAGTGGCGACAGTTTCGCAGATCGCAGCCCCCCATGGACGGCGAGGTCCCGTTTGGATCCGCGGTAAGTGCCCTCTCTGCTGGCCTCCCCAGCAGCCCTCGAAAGTGGCGACAGTTTCACAGATCGCAGCCCCCCAGGGACGGCGAGGTCCCGTTTGGATCCGCGGTGAGTGCCCTCTCTGCTGGCCTCCCCAGCAGCCCTCGAAAGTGGCGACAGTTTCGCAGATCGCAGCCCCCCAGGGACGGCGAGGTCCCGTTTGGATCCGCGGTGAGTGCCCTCTCTGCTGGCCTCCCCAGCAGCCCTCGAAAGTGGCGACAGTTTCACAGATCGCAGCCCCCCAGGGACGGCGAGGTCCCGTTTGGATCCGCGGTGAGTGCCCTCTCTGCTGGCCTCCCCAGCAGCCCTCGAAAGTGGCGACAGTTTCACAGATCGCAGCCCCCCAGGGACGGCGAGGTCCCGTTTGGATCCGCGGTGAGTGCCCTCTCTGCTGGCCTCCCCAGCAGCCCTCGAAAGTGGCGACAGTTTCACAGATCGCAGCCCCCCAAGGACGGCGAGAGGAGACAAGGGGGAGGCGGGAGGCGGCAGGCGGGAGGAGAAGGACGCGACCACGGTGCTCTATTCAAAACGAATACCCAACCAAGGAGGGTTGGGAATGAAGAACTAGTCGCGGGCTCGGGGGGGGCGACGCTTTGCTGATGTAGACTATTACGCGTAGCGCGTGCTTAGCGCTCGGAGCGCCCCGAAGGTCCAGAGCCAGATAACTTGGGTCCTTCGGCGCGCACGTGCGCCCCAGCATTTTTTTAGTGTCCGTCGCTCTCTGCACTCGCTGGCCCTCTGCACTCGCTTCACCCTCCCAAGCCGTGTTGCCCGAGATCGTCTTTCTTTGTATTCGTGGAGGGGGCTCCTCATCCCGGTTCTTAGATCCCAGCGTTTGCGATGCAACAACAATTTCAAATGTTCGATGATTCTGTGTTGGCGTTGACTTTGACTCTGGCTTTTACATTTTCTTTAGGTAGCTCGCCTGGTCATGGCTTCAAGGTTCCATTGCAACTATACCTGTAGCTTCAGCTTATGATTCAGTGCCTGCTTTGGCTTAGGCTTGGCTCAGCTTAATTTTCGGGTTCGGGCTGAAATCTTATCTTCAGCTGTAGATTTGGCATGTGTTTGATTTTTCAACATCATAAGCAGACTCGCTGTGTGATTAGCTGTGGCTTCAGCTTAGGCTTTTTGTCTTCCCTCTAGATGTAGTCCTCTAGCTCTAGCTGTACCTCTAGCTGTAGTCCTCTAGCTTTTTGTCTTCCCTCTAGCTCTAGCTGTACCTCTAGCTCTGGATTTAGTAGTCGGTCCTTTACCGCCCGTGGGCGTCGCGCGAATCCGACTGGCACTGCTGCGCAACACCGCGTGCGGGGCGACAAAAAGTGGTTGGCCCGTCCTTGCTTGTGCATTGTCTGCGGCGCAGGAGCAGGAGAGCTGAAGAGTTCCTTTCTGCCGTGGACATATCCCAGTGTTGCTGGGAGGCATGCTCCGTATTCATTTCGCATTCCTGCACCTGCAGGCTTACCAGCATTTGCCGCGTTTCTGAATGATGCCATGAGTGACAGGTCTGGCTGGGAATGCCAGGCGCTTGATGTTCGAGCCTTGTGCATCCATCGGTGTGTGGATGACTGGTGCGACAATGAGCAGCGCAAGCTAGTCAAGGAGCGCAACGGTGGAGCGAATGATGGAATCCAGTCCATTCGTTCATGCCATTTTGTGACTGCACTCGTGCATAATTGCTTTTAGATTGACCTACCTAGGTTTGCCTTGGCTCGCCTAGGACTCGTGATCAGATCAAGCCCTGATGATCATGGATAACTCCTGCGCGAAAGCGTGGTGCTTCGCACAGTCATTTTTCCTACTCATTGGCAACATTCTTCTTGGGAAGTTGAAGGCGGGGCATCTCGGGCGATGCCGGGTCTACCTCAGGGCGAGGGAGGAGGAGGAGGAGCAGGAGGAGGAGGAGGAGGGCGGAGGAGGAGGAGGAGGAGGAGGAGGAGAGAGGAGGAGGAGGAGGAGGAGGAGGAGGAGGAGGAGGAGGCTGTGCTGGGCGGCCAGGCCAGCCGCGGCGCCGCGACTGTGCGGTGTCGTCAGGCGGCTCGGAAGGAAAGGCGATCCGCAGACCACCCAGCGGCGGACCGGCCGCGGCGCAGGTGCCCGCGGCTGGCGCCCCGGCGGCCACGGCGGTGCCCTCGCGGGGTGCAGCGGCGGTGCAGGCGCCAGAGGTGACGAAGGAACAGCACACATGCTCCCAAGGGGAGGGGGGGGGCGGAGAGGGCTGTGGGTGCGTGTTGCGGGGCGGGGGCCCCCGCTCGAGCGGGAGCCCCCCGCGGGGTCCGACAACCCGCACCCGCATCGACAGTAGCCAGTCCTCCTCCTCCTCCGATCCCCCCTGTGGGCATGGGCATGGGTGTGAGTGGTTCGTTCGTCGAGAGGGGGCTGCTCCCCGCGTCCCTCGCTGCGCTTCCCCGTCATCTCGGGGGGACCGACATGCAGTATCGCTTCGCCGATCCTCGTCCCTGGACTGCCGTGGGTCATGAAGAAGTCGTGTCTGGATGCTTTTCGTGTTTTCGGCCTCCGGGGGGCCCTTGCCGGCCCTCGGGATCGTCAAGAGCCGAGTCGGGATGAAAAGCGGGTCCCGGGGAAGGGGTCCAGACTGTTGGGGATTCATGTCATGAAAGATTCATGACGTCGGGGGTCTTGGTCCGCATTGCAATCCCCAAGCCGATCCCCACCATCCCACCACCGCAGTTGGGGATGTGCCCCTCGAGATCCGAATGGAGCAGCCTGTATCCCCATCGGGGGGGGGGGTAAATCGGCCAGTGGGGCCCAGGCCACGCCCGAGGGGATAGGGATCGGTAAAATGATGTCCAGAAATCGGTGCGGACACAATGGGTTCTAAGACCAACACCAGTTCACCTGACCTTCGTTCGCTAGTTCTGACCTGACCTCCTATATACCACTATTGCCTCCCTGGCCTTTAGTTCGCTGACTCTTCGGGCGGGTAATGGCCCAAGCTCTGTCGAAAGAAAAGGAAGGACAGACAATGGAGGCAAAGCCCAATAGCAGTTCTTGTCCATTCTGAACAGGATTCGCTGTCGGCGTCGCCACAGGCGCTGTCCCTTTGAGACAGAAGGCCGCCCGCCCAATGGTGGCCGCTGTTGGTGTTGGACAACATGTGCTGATGGGCACAGTTCCCATTTTTCCGTACCCATTTCGGGCGTCCAAAGCCATTCCCCCTCGGCCCTGTGCTCTCCACCCCGCCCCGTCCAGGGGTCGACGTCGCGACTTGAGGTCTTCGGGCGTTCTCGTCGCTTCCCAGCGTTTTTCCAGTCTCGGGATGCCTTCAGCGGCTGCGCCTCGCCGCGAGCGTGCCAGGGGTGCCCAGATCGTTTCGAACGGCCGCCGCGGAGCCCAGACATGACCTGAAAACCAAGGGGCCTCTCCTCATGGTCGTACTCGGTCCTCTCGTCTCCTCCCAGCTCTCCTCTCCCTCATTCCTTCCTCCTCCCGAGCTGGCCCATCTCGGCAGCGCCGAGTACCTCCACGGCTGAAGCGAATAGGCGTTACTGCATTTCGGGTTTTATCCAGGTAGTGCGCGCGCGTGTGTATGTGCTTTGTGTGGTGTGCCCGTGGCACGCGTGCGGCGCGCGCTCGCACGTCCAGCGCAAACTTGTCTTCCAGTTAGGACTTAGGAGCTGGGCCAGGAAGTTTGGATGTCTTGGGTTCCTCCGCCTTCACATTTTGGCGCCCTGAGGTTTTCCAGGGGGATCGGAGGGCTACTGCTGTCCCAGAGACATGATATCACCAACAAGATCCTCCTCTTCCTCCTCTTGGTCTTGGTCTCCTCCTCCTCCTCCTCCTCCTCCTCCTCCTCCTCTACTCTTCTTCCCCTCTCGTGCTTCTCTTCCTGGAGGGGTGCTCTCTGCGTGCCATTCTTCCCGGAGGGGTGTTGCCGATGGGAGGTTCGCCCTCCTCCTCCTCCTCCTCCTCCTCCTTTCTGCTCCTCTTCCTCCTCTCTGCTCCTCCTCCTCCTCCTCCTCCTCCTCCTTCCTCCTCCTCCTCTCCTCCCTTCACTACTCTCTGCTCTCCTCTCTCTCCTTCGCTCCCTTCATCCGGCCCTCCTCCTCCTCCTCCTCCTCCTCCTCCTCCTCCTCCGCCTCCCGTCAGCCGTGACCCTGTGCTGGCCGGCCCGTGGCGCGTGCAGGGAGACGCTCGGCCGCCAGCCCGCCGCGGGCGCCGGCGCCCGCGCTGGTCCCTCTCGTCTGCCTCCCCGCGGCGGAAGCCGCGGGGGAAACCGTCGCTCCGCCCTCTGTCAGGAGGGAACAAAAACACAGACACAATTAAGCGTCGACTCCCAGGAAAATATGGGAAAATATGGGAAGTGGGGGGGAAGACAAAAACACACACACACACACACACACACACACACACACACACACACACACACACACACACACACACACACACACACACACACACACACACACACCACACACACACAC